TGCTCTTCATTACCTCTACTACATTCATTTTTCATGCTGTGGAAAGACCACTACCTTGCTGTTCTTCATTTTATATGTTCCTGCCAGCAGGAAAACAAGTTAACTGGCACTGTTAAATCGGGATAATTGTATTTTGAGGTGAATCTGCATAGGCCCATTAGCAGCCCACTAAGTTATCTTGGGCGTTGTACTAATTTTTTATCTTTATTAGCTGTCTAGAATTTACACTGTTCATATTTATCATCTGCCTGTGACTTACATGAGATACTAATCCTTTATAAATGACTAATAAATACAAGTTTATTCTAATAAAGTTTTTCACTACATAGACTTCATTAAATGTCTAAGATATCTATGGATACATTTCATGGAATCTCTTTGGATCTTGTGATTAAATTTTATGTAAAAATCTGTATGAGTCCTTTGGAAGTTTTAACGTTCACTGTAAATGAATAACCCAATCTCCTACACCATAATGGATTCCATAGTGTTCGTTGTTAGTGCCCAGTGGTCTGTGTGTTTTCTGGAGCTTTTTTATTTCTCATCTACTTCTGTATTTATGCTAATGTTTGAGTTAGTGATTGAGACCTTTAACATTGATAGGTTTTTCTCAGTGTGTATATTTGGCCACAGGGACACTTTTGTTGAAAGGTGATCTTTTTCCATGAAATTTATGCTCTGAAAAGAGTTGTATTTACTGTTTTTGGAGGACCTGCTGGCTTGAAACTATGTCTAAAATTGAATCTTGTCTATGTGCCTTACAGTCAGGGACACCTTCCACTAGACCAGGTTGTTCAAAGCCCCGTCCAGCCTGGTCTTGAACACCTCTAGGGAAGGGGAGTCCACAGCCTCTCTGGGCAACCTGTTCCAGTGCCTCACCATCCTCAGAGTAAAGAATTTCTTAGTAAAATCTAATCTAAACCTACCCTCCTTTAGCTTAATGCCATTCTCCCTTGTTGTATCACTGCATGCCCTAGTAAAAAGTCCCTCTCCAGCCTTCCTGTAGGCCCATTTTAGGTACTGGAAGGTGCTATAAGGTCTCCCTGAAGCCTCTTCTACTGGTTGAACAGACCAAACTCTCTCAGCCTGTCCTCAGAGGAGAGGTGCTGCAGTCCTCTGATCAGCTTACAGGGCCTTCCTCTGGACTCGTTCCAACAGGTCAGCATCTTTATTAGGAGGAGATTTTTTACAGAGAGAGTAGTCAGGCATTGGAATGGGCTGCCCAGGGAGGTGGTGGTTTCACCATCCCTGGAGGTTTTCAAGACGAGACTGGATATGGCACTTAGTGCCATGGTCTAGTAACCACAGTAGTGTTGGACTCGATGGTCTTTGAGGTCTCTTCCAACTGGGTTGATTCTATGATTCTATTGTTTTAGGAGCCCTAGAGCTGGACACAGTACTGCAGGTGGGACTTCAGAAGAGCTGAGTATAGGAGGAGAATCACCTGCTGGCTGTGTTTCTTTTTATGCACCCCAGGATACAGTTGGCTTTCCAGGCTGCAAGCACACATTGTCAAGTTGTGTGGAGCTTTTTTGTTCACAAACACCTACAGGTCCTCCTCCCTAGAGCTAGTCTTGAGCCATTCTCCAAATTAAGAATTTCCACAAGTTTAATTCATGTAATTTAAGTGTCTTGAAAAATGGCTGTCAATCTTTTTAGCTTGTTTTTGTTTGCTGTATAACAATAGGAGTCTTAGGATTTATAGTTCTAAGTCTGTAGCTGCATCTGTGGATGAATTCACTGAGTTGTAGAAGTACAGTTATGGAGCTCACTTGTGAGAGATGATTTTGGGCTAGTTCGTGACACTAGCCCTGTGCAGTCTTACTACTTGGTTGTTATGTAGAAGTGCATCGGGCAAAGCAGTTTCTCCTACCAAAGAAGAGGTCTGTGCTCTCCCTTCTTGCATACTAGCAAAGAGTTATGGCTCTGATTCTTAACTTATTAACAGTTTGGTTTAGGAGTGGAAATATTTCCATTTAGTATTTTTAGACTGTAAAATCTGGTAAACTCTCTGCAGGGGCTAAGCCTGCAGTTTTGGAGAGAGTGAGTTTGTCTTATGGGGATTAAGTCAGTCTGTCTACGAAACAGTGTTCAATATTCCATACAAAACTCCGTTTAAAGGATATTAAGGTAATATTGTTACCATATCAAGAAGCGGGGAAGGCTAAAGTTAGTTCACCTTGTGAATGTGAATTGTCATGTTTGTTCTTTTAACTGGCCATTGCATGCTCTTTTTCTTTAAACAACTGTAACATCCTTCAAAATCTTAGAGAATTTCAGCATCTTACATTATTTAATTTTTTTAAAAATCTGCATGACTTCATTGTTTTAATTGTTTGACGCCTTTATTGAGATAGTGAAATCTATTCTTGTGGGCATCAATCATTAATTCTTCTATACATATCCATGTACAATACGAAACACTAGTAGAAGTATCAGTAGTTGTTGTTACCTGAACTAGGTTGTCGATGTTAGTGTAGATCAGGCTTCCTCCTCTAGTGGTGTATGGGCCAAACCCTGAATATGGGAGCCAGAAGCATGAACAATTGCATTTGTATTGACGTTCTTTTAGTGGGATAAAAACGTTATTAGAAACAGCAGAAGGACCAGTGTACTCCCTTTCTCTCTCTCTTCTGTAGTCACTGCATACTAGTATCTCCTGCTTTTCTACCAGAATGGCTCTGTGTTAGTTGGAATGAGTTTCAGCATTATGTTCTAAGTGGCTTCAGTGTTGTGGAGTGAGTGTGCGTGTGAGTGTGTGTGTGTCTACACACATATCAGACTTTGGCTCTGTTTGACATTCAGCTATCTGTTGCACTAGCAGCAAAAAAGAAGGGTAGACTGGGCAGGACGTAGAAGCAAACCATTCATAGTAGTCAGCAGCATACTCTATCACCTTTGCATGATATAAATCAAAGAGGACAGAATGAAGAGAGAATACGTGAGACATGGGGACCTCTCACATATTATGTGAGAAAGAATAGTTAAGTGTTTTGCCTCTAGCACTCTACCTTTAAAGATACTGAAATGCCCTTTTTTAGAAAGTCAACAATATTTGTTCGTGTTGGGTTCATTTTTTTAAGCCATAGGCTTCAACTGCTTAAGACTGGTATGTGCTTGCTAGCTTGAAATATTCAGTCAAGATAAACAAATTGACACTATTTTGGCTACAAGAAATGTATTGCCATTATTATGAAGTAATTGAGAATTTACTAAAACCTTTTTTTAGGTATTGTCCTTCCTGCAAAAATGATTCTAATGAAGTTGTAAAGGCTGGAGAAAAGCTCAAACAGAGTAAAAAGAAAGCAAAGATGCCGTCTGCCAGTACTGAAAGCCAGAGAGACTGGGGCAAGGTAGAGTGTTTTAGAAATAGCTGTTACTCTGATTGTTCATGTATGTGCTACATCTATAATTCTACTTACATACGCACTACACAGAATTCAGTACTGGGTTGCACAGACAAGACAATGGTTAATTCTGCCCACTGTCTACTGGCAGTTAAAGCAGTGGAAGAATTACTAAGGTGACTAGAGGTAAAAACAAAAAAAGATAACCCCCAATATCTCTCCCAAACCCATAACCGCATATTACTTATTTAACATTCCTTTTAACAATTGTTAACAGATTAAAAAATATGTGTTTGTTATAATAGACAGATTTCTTGACCTCTGCATTGAATTTGCATAGAGTCTTCAATATTCTAATATTAATTAATTTTGTCTAATGTATTTTTAGGGCATGGCCTGCGTTGGTCGAACTAAGGAATGCACTATTGTTCCTTCAAATCATTATGGGCCTATACCTGGTGTTCCAGTTGGGACAACCTGGAAGTTCAGAGTTCAGGTATGTTGTTTCGATATGAGCTGTACATGAAGTAAGTAGGAATAATAATGAACGGGTTGGGCACTAAAATAAATTTAGATTGGCAGTTGCTATTTTCACCAAGACTAAGTAGAGCAAACACATTATGATTCTTATATTGGAAGTGATGCTAATGGTAATGAAGGTTGAAGCATACTGATTTTACGATACAACTTATCAAGAAGTTTGTTGTCATTAAGAGAAACACATTTCACATGTTAAAATTCCAAGCTGGGTTACTAGAGTCAAGTATTTTCTGAAGTGTACTTCACATGAACTGATTATCTCACTTAGGAGGTACAGACTGTAGTTTTCAAAAACATTTTATGGTATCACTGTAAATTGACTCTGTTGGTGTTTTTGGTCATATGTAATGGATGTCCGAATCTGCGTTTAGGCTGACGTACAGCTGTAACCACTGTTTGCTGGTTCTGCTACTGAAATTTGCTGTCTATTCAGCCTTTGGTGTTCCTTGCATTGTATCATTTTCTGTTTCAAACATTCCTTAGCTCTGTGGTAAACTAGATTGATTAAAAAATGGCATAAAATTAATCCCATTTAGGGTGGGAGGGGAGCTAATACTCCTGATCTGTTTCACATTTTGGTTATGTAAGCACAGTGTCAATACTCAAAGGGTCAGGAAAAAAGAGGGAGGATGAGACACCTTCATTTTGTGCCTGTGCTGATGTTTTTATGGTTTCAAAGTGTCCTGCAAGCTACAAACTTACTTCCTCTTTCCCCAACCTGGTCTGATAGCACTGATTTTTGGGTTATCTTTCATTTTTTGTATTGTTGTTTTTAGTCAGGGAAATGCATACTTCTTTGTTTTCAAAATCAGTTGGTTCTTTGTCTCTTGCATGTGTAAATGATTGTATTTGAATGTTTTCCATCATATTTGGAAGTATAGAAATAGGGCTTTTTAAACTGCTTGAGGAGGGGCAAGCCAAGAATCAAAAGCCTCTTCTGATTTATGAACTTTTGATCACTTGCTTGTTGGCTTTCAGATTAAGTATAGTCTAATAAGTAAGAGAAGTTTCTAAAATCACTTATGCAGGTTCAAAATATCAAAACTGGTTTTTATTTTCACTGCTTGAATAATAATTGAAATTACTAGTTAACCTTTTTATTAGTAATTCTATTGATAACACAAAAACTAGTGGTTTTCAGATACTTCCAGTAGTGGTAGGAGAAAGAAACAGAATGAGAGTGCTGCTTTTGTCAGAAAATTCAGCAAATAATACTACTTTATATATATATGTGTGTGTGGATTAGACACCAAAAGGCAGTTACTATTTCTACATAATTATTAAGTACAAATTAAATACTTAATCCTTTTTTTTCAAAGACTGAAATGTTTCCTACATAGAAAGTTAAATTGCACTTTTGTTTCTCATATGAATAGTCCTTTTTATGAGAAATGAGTTTGTCTCGGCAAATCTATGTGAATTTAGAGACTGTAGTTTTTTTATTTCTGATTTGCATAGTTTTTTTATGACACAAACTCTCTTTTCCCTAGAAGGAAATTGACTAAGTATTGCTTCTGGAGAGAGCATCTGAAGAGCATCTTTGGCATGAATTACTTACCAGAGTTCATCTTTGGGGTGAATCACCTACCAGAAACCTAAATTTAATTGATAAAATCTGGAAATGAAAAAAGGGAGGGAGGAGTGAATTAAAGGATGTTTGATACCAGAGGAAAGAGGAGTGCAATAGTGGGGCCTTTTTATTCAGCATACTCATAAATGGTTTGGAAAAACTGGCAAATAGCTGATAAAGTTAAGCGAGAATGCTAAGTTGTTGTGGCTAGTAAACACAGGGCTGGGAATAGTTCTAAATATGTCATTTTTAATGGGCTTTCAGCTACTTACTCTTCCTGTTATTAGGAAAGAGATATTCTAATAGCTAATGGTGAAAATATGTTATTTTAGTACCCAGTAGAGATAAAAAAATAAATCAAGTAATAAATTATCATGGAAGGAAGGGTCAGGAAAAGAAATTACAGTCTTATGAACAGCTATCAGGATGATTAGAGGAATAGAATGGTTTTCATTCCTCTGGAAAAAGTTGAAAATTTCATGGGGTGTGGATGACTACAAAATGATGAGCAGTATGAAAAAGGTTGGACCATTATACATACTTGTGTAATGTAAAAAGTGGTCATTAAAAAAATGTCAGCTGCTCACTTAAAACTGAATGAAACTAGTACTAGTTCATATGACAAGTGGTACTACTGTGAACTCTTTTGTCTCTTAGATATTACGAATACAAAGTTATAAGTAGTTTAGGAAGTCAAGGCCACAGACAGCTGGATGCTGAAAAATTGTGCAAGAAAGTATCATCATATCTTTGCATACTTTTCGTACTGTGCACAGCTCTTTTCTATTATTAAACAGTGCATTTTTTGACCAGCTGGATCTTCGATGTATTGTATTGTGAAAGTACAAGACTATAGCAAAACAATGTAATCATTCATGGATATTGATTAGAAGTGTAGGTTTGGAAACTGAGTTCAGGAGTGAGAGAGGCAGAATGAGAAAAACAAGCAAAGATCTGAAAGAAGACATGTAGATAGAAAGAAGGATCCTAATCAGTTTTATGCTGGGAATCTTCATTCTATCAATGGTGTCTTTGGCATCGTATACTGAGAAAACATAATTTAATACGTACTCTCTTGTTTTTAATAAAGGTTTTGGCTATTAAAAAAATATGGTTTAATTGTTAAAAACAATTTATTAAGTACATTTTTGTGGGAGAGATGTTCCAGCAGACTTTAGTGATGTAGCCAGTTTATGGTACTGCTGCAGGTCTTAGGTGGTCTGGTTACAGATCAGTCATTGCCACAGAGTTATCCTGTTTGGAGAACTAGTCTGTGTTCCATACACTGTTCCAATGACTGCTTCTGTTTCCTTGGGCAGTGTGTTAATATATCCCTGTACTGGTCACATTTACGGTGTGTTACCTTAATAGTACCTGACATAACGGTCTTTACACAGGTCACTGGGATCTTCCTTAGGTAAAATTTATAAAATATCACATCTCCATCTCCTTTGGTTTGTTCTAAGTGACTGTGCAAGTGGAGTATAGCAGCGAGTACAGTCTTACGTACTGCTTATGGAAAGAATCAGGGATTTTTCCCAAAAAAGAAACTGCACCTTTGCATCTTCCAGCATCATCACCATCCTACATTGTCCTTCTGTTTTTTTGGGTGTCCTTACTTTTAGCTTTTCTTCCTTAAAAACAGGTGGAATTCTCACATTTAATGGCAGTCTTACACTGACTGTTCACAGACACCTTTGTACAATATTTTAAGCAGAAAGTTGATTTTTAAGAGTGATTGTAGGTATCTGGTTGTTTGAAAAAATTGCTAGAAACTGGCTTTATTCTGTTGCCAGGTGAGCGAAGCAGGTGTTCACAGGCCTCATGTTGGTGGAATCCATGGACGCAGTAATGATGGAGCTTATTCACTTGTACTAGCTGGAGGATTTGAAGATGAAGTGGTATGTCACTTGTGCAAGCAATGGTTTTGGTATTCTAATGCATCAAATATATCAATGTTTGTGAAGACAAAGTTGTTGTTTATCCTAAAACTAATGTTTAGGCAAATATGACTGTGAAAAAAATAGCTACTCATCGCAACAAATCAAGTAGTTCTTAGTATGTTGGAGAGAAGTATCTTAGCAAATCTTTCTTAAGGAATGCTTATGCTCATACTTGCACTCAAGCAAGATAGATCAATTGCACCCACATTTTACATCGTTCAGGGTAGTTACATTTCAGTGTACTTCTGGAATCTGAATTTAGCATAATTTAAAATCTGACAGTGTAATTATATGCAAGTAATATGTTTAATGTTCTGCTTTGGTCACGATTTTATTATATTCAAGACAGATGCCTCTTCCTTTGGATTTGTTGTGTTTCTAAATTTGTGGTGCTTTTATTTTAATGAAACAAGAATAAAAGATACATGTTACCCGATTCTATGAATGTGTGAAGTTCTGAAGGTTCTTGGCTCCTACTGATGAGCATTTTCAGAACTTCTTAGGAAAGTCTCAGAATCTTGTATTATGATGCCCAGAGGTGTTGGAAAAAGTATTATACTGTGAGGTTAACATCTAAATAAAGCAACAAAAGCAGTATCTGCTTCCAGTTCTCATCTCATGATGTTGATCAACATTTATTTATGAACAGCTTACTGTTTTCTGCAATTAAATAGTGTATACACAAGGTACATACCTTCCTGCAGTTCTGGTCAGGTGGAATTTTGAATCATGCATCGGGTGAAGGATAATGGAGTAAGCAGTTTTATTTTTTTAAACATGCATAGCTGTTAATCACAAGGAAAAGGGCACTGAAGAAAAAAATAAGTGCATGAATGAAATAGCATCAGAATATAACATATTCTTTGCCATCAACACCTATCAGCTGCTGCAGAATATTGCATCTGAAGGAGTCTGTGTCTCTATTTGAACATGTGACATGAGGAGGTATTTGATGTTTGGATACCATGTCCTTAATGTCTACCCCAACCCAAGGTCTAGGACCCTTTGTCAGTGGAACAATGTTCCACACTAGTTCTATCTGCTGTGCTGGCATGCTGCAGGCTGCTTTTTTATTCTTATTGGTGGTGATACTGATGTCCTCTTATTTCTGCTGCTGTAAATATTCCAATCAAAAGATGAAATAAACTGAATTAGATCCTTTGTGTGTCTTTTCAGCTCACCTAAGTGATGTTGTGACTATGTGTTCTTGTGAACACCTAAGTACTGTCACAGTCTAGATGACATAAATAATTTTGAAGAGTCATAGTTGGGGAGAAATATTGCAGAAGGTGCCCTAAAAATTTGTATGAATATCAGACATTTTTTCAATTTTCTAAACTTAAGAATACAAGGGATAATTTCCCCCCCCAGGCACATTATTGAAATTAGTTTTTCTTTTGTTCTTTTTTCATATCCTAGATTTTATTTCCCAATTTACTACCATTTTCCCTGGTTTTTGGAAAACTTTAGACTAAACTCCTATAAGAATATCCACAGAAAAACCAAATTCTCTACTGATAAGTATCCTAAGTACAGTATCTAATTCCAGACATGAAGCTTTTAAATAAATATTCAGATACAATCCTCTGGTCATGTGTGAGTACAATAAAAGAGAGGAGGCTTTCACTTGAATTCCAGTGGTGTGATGTAGGTACTTGTGCTTAAGTTTTTAAAAAATCAAGTAATAAGTACATTTTGGATGAGTGTTATACTGTATGTTTATAAACTTTATTCACTGTTTATACATACTGGTGATATGTGCCATCTTAATGCTCTTCTTATGGCTTTAAACCAACCAACACTTCACTATTGAGGTAAAATTATTGCGAAAATACATTGCATTACATTCACTGTCTAGCTTTCAGATCATATCATTTTTATGCTGTGCCTTTGGAAATTTATAATCCTACAGACCTAGAATTGCCTCCAGCTTTCCTTAAGTTGGGATGTTCTGGATGTATTGGAGTGCTCAGTAACAACAAGTTCTGTTAATTCTGTCAGATCTGCCCTTGAAATTGAGAAGGGGTACAGTCATAGTTTACAAAGTGAACATTGGGTAAAATTGTTTTGCACATGAAGTTTATCCTCATTCCTGATTGCATGCTTAAACTTGAATTTTAGTGACAAGTTACATGGCTTATCTGTAGTTAGCTTTAGATCCTCAAATAGGTTAACATTGCTGATCTCCTGGTACTGCTTTTGATAGTAACCATTATAGGAACATTAGCTGAAGAAATTGAGAAGCTTTTGAGTAATGTAAAATCTGAGAATTATTTCAGAACAGATTTAAACACATTGAAAAATTAGATATTGAACTTTATCAGTGAAGAAAAGTATTTTGACTTATCTGTTCATCAAATCAAGTAGCAGAAGAAATTTACCTTTTGTGTTGAAAACTTACCCTCTTATTCTGTGTCTTTTTTATATATATCAGAGTTTAAACTGCTGTTTATATTCAAATGTTTTGGGATCCATCTTTCAGCTGGGTTGAGGTAGTGTTGTAAAGATGGTAAATTAATTTTGTGATGTGTTTAGTTTAATCCAAATAAAGATTGTTTCTTCTTTAAGTGTCATTGCTTATAGGATCCAATGGGATATCTCTGAACTGAGATTCAGAATCTCTTGGAGAATAATACCTGCTGTGACCATTCACATCTTATTGTAAAGGCTCTGAGATTATAAAAGAAAATAGCATCTCTAATGACTCAAAAGAGACCCCAGGCAAATACACTCATTGCTTAGGTTTGTTGATATTTTATACCAAACCCATTCAGTGCCTGGAACATAGCATTCACAAACCACTTCATGAAATTAATGTCAAATACAAAGTGCATGTCTTTTAGATTTTGCCATGCCTTGCTTGAACTAGGATTATAGCTGGCTAATTAAATTACTTATACAGATTTCAGGATTTTTTTCCCCCTCAAAAAACCAATCTATTTGTGATCTCCCACAGATAACTGTAGTTAAAAAGTGTTGCCTCCAAGAACTGTTTTATCTCCTAAGTAATCTCTCACTACAGAAAAGTATCTTTGACTTGAAAAGGCTTTCTGTGTGTTGTACCTTTGATGGACCTGGTCAGATGGATTTTGAAGGGAGTAGAAGATAATTAATCCAGACTGAGTAACCTGAATTGTTTGCATATTAATGTTTGGTTTAAAAGTCTGGAAATCCACCATTTTGGCACTGAACATGGAAAGGAGTAAGAAAAACCTTGAAAAGTGGTTCACATAAAGTAGTCATCTTGTACTTTGAGCTTTCAAAATGCTGCCCTACTTCCATCACCAGTTAGCCACCTTCTGCTGTTTCCTGCTTTGAAGATGCCTTTCTTACTGTTCGAACACATAGACTGGCGGACACTAAAATGGTCAAATATTTTCATCATGCTGAAATGTGTCAGGTTGTTGCTGACCTTGTCAGGCATTTGTGGGGAAGACTCGAAAAAACTGGTTATGATATAGTCAGGCTCTGCACTTAATGTAAGGGTTTTCCATTCATTTATAAAAGAAAATTTGTAATTTAGCCATTTCTTTTCAATAGGCAAATTTTGCTGCAGTACTAAACCATGAAATTATCAAAAATAAATCAGACAATTGGGCAGATAGGCCAATTCTGTCAGCACTTATATGCATACAGAGTTGTGAGGCTTCAATGGAGATAAATGGTGACATGATTCAGTTTCAGATATCCCTACTACTACATAAAGAAAAATCCTTACAAATGAAATTGCCTGATAGTTAATACTTGATTTGGATTTAATAAACTCATTTTAAAAGGCTTAATGCTTTTTAATTTTGTTTTGTCATAGTAATTAAACTTTTAATCATCACATTTTACTAAGGTGAAATTGATGGATTGAGGGCTTCATGAACTGATGATATTTGGGGTTACTTGTATAAAAAATGCCAATAAGAGCTTTTTTTTTGTTCAGACTGAAGGTTGAATCTCACATAGAAAGTCCATTTGTGTTTATAATAGCCTATTACTGATAAATGCGTTTGTTGTCTATCTGTTGAGACCAAACTTTAAAATCTGAGCATAATAGCAGAGGTGTTAATGGAAAGAGGAAATAATTGAGAGCTGTCTTGAGATAGCTGACATTCCAGTAACTTGAAGTAGCTGATGCCCCTGTCATCTGCTGCATAAAAGCAAACCATAGAAATAATGTGGTCAAATGATTTAGGTGGTATTCAGACTCTTAGTTTTCATACTACATTATATCTTTGGTCGACTTAGATTACATAACAACTTTGGATAGTGGAGTGGAGTGTGATCTGTTTCAACTGACCATCTGCTTACACTGTCTGTCTAAGGCTGACTGGTTTAGAGTACTAGAGCTTCAGGCTCGTCTTGCACATACATGCCTCAGTACATGATATTGGGTCAGTGCTACTATGGCTAAAGTTAATTTGCTCTATAATGTGATCAAACTTTACTAACAGAACAGTTAAGAAATAACTTTATGGAGACAACATAAGAAAGAGAGACATACAGAAGGCATTAAGGGAAGACAGAATAAGAAAGTCCTTGCTAGCTGTTGAAAGAAAGTTTTGGTGCAAGGAAGTTGAATTTAGCTGTGGAAAGCAGAGGAGAAATGGCAGAATTTTATATTTTAAGGTAAGAAAATGCAGAAAACGTAGGAAGAAGGGAAGGGAGAAGATAAGACTTTTAATAGGGTTTTTTGACAGCTATTTTTGTAATTAAAGAAGAACATGCAGACATCAATAATTCCATTTGCTGCATGTTTTCTTTAACTGTTGAATCATTGTCTTCAGTTCTGCTTTCTGATTTTCTTGAGTTGACAATCACTTTACCTGTTTCATACAGGCTCGCAGTTGTACATTGTTACAGGTGGTAGGAAAATCCCATATTTCCTATAGATATACTCAGAACTCAAAGCTATTGAGAAACTGCTTTAATGGCCCTTACTCTCAAAAGATCACATATAATAAACTGTGTAATTATTCCTGTCATACTCCACTTTCAAAGTAAAACACCACAAACCCAATCGAAGTAGGTTCTCTAGGTCTTCCATTAGGTCTCCAGGCTACCAGTGTCCCTGTTTCACTCCTACTTGCCATGGGATGAATTCATATCCACATTTATTCCACTCTAATGACACTGACTCTGTGCATCAATTACTCTTGCCATTTTTTATTTTAACTCTCTGCAAACACGTAGGGGTTCTCCTGAGCTTTCTTCTTCCCCTGTTTAAGAGTTGCTCTTACATCAGAGGTTCAAATGTCCTCCACACTTCTCTTCATCCAGTCCAGATCAGCACCAAGATTGCTGTCATTTTCCTCCAGTTATTCTGGGAACTGTGTCTTTGTTCTCTGCAACCCTTCCCTCCCCCTCGCCCCCCATTATATCTGTTGTGAAATAAGGGAGTGTAGTTATTCTGGAAAATACAGCAGAAGCGAGTCTTCCTTACACTGCAGGATGTGAAAAGATGTCATCTTAGAATCATAGAACATGAAAGAGTTGGAATGGAGCTTAAGATCATCTAGTCCCAGACCCCACTGCATGGGCAGTGACACATCCCGCTAGATCAGGTTGCTCAAGGCCTTGTCTAGCCTGGCTTTGAACAGTGCCGTGTTTGGAGCATCCACAACCTCCCTGGGCAACCTGTGCTAGTGTCTCACCAGCCTCAGAGTAAAGAATTTCTTCCTGACATATAATCTAAATTTCCCTTGTTTCAATTTATCCCCATTACTCCTTGTCCTATCACTGCAGTTCATAATAAAGAGTCCCCCTCTGGCTTCCCTGTAGGCTCCCCTCAGATACTGGAAAGTAGCTACGAGGAATGCATGCAACCTTCTTTCTCCAGGTTGAGCAGCCCTGATTCTTTCAACCTTTCCTCACAGGAGAAGTGCCTCAGCCTCATCTTCATGGCCCTCCTATGGACTTGCTCTAGGTCCTTCTTATGTTGAGGACACCAGAACTGTATGCTATACTCCAAGTAGGGTCTCACAAGAACAGAGTGGAGAGGGAGAAGCACCTCCTTTGACCTGCTGATCACACTCCTTTTGATGTAGCCCAAGATTCAGTTGACTTTCTGGGCTGTGAGCACACACTGCTGGCTTGTTGTGAGTTTCTCATCAACCGTCTCTCCCAAGTCCTCCTGTCCAGGGCTGCTCTCAGTGACTTCTCCACTCAACCTGTAAGTGTGCCTGGGATTGCTATGACCCAGGTGTAGGACTTAGTGCACTTCTCTTTGTTGAACTTCATGAGGCTGGCATGCACCCACCTCAAGCCTGTCAAGGTCCCTCTGAGGACATCCCTTCCTTCTAGTGTATGAACTGTGCTACACAGCTTCGTGTCATCGATGAACTTGTTGAGGGTGCAATTGATCCCACTGTCCATGTCGCTGACAAAGATGTTGAACAGTGTTGGCCCCAGCACAGACCCCTGAGAAACACCACTTGTTACTGGCCTGCACGTGGGCAGTGAGCCATTGACTACAACTCCTTGTGTGTGGTCATCCAGCCAGTTCTTTATCCACCAAGTAGGCCACACATCAAATCCTTGTCACTCCAATTTAGAGACAAGGATGTCATGTGGAACATAAGTCCAGGTAGACAATGTCAGCAGCTCTGTTCCTATCCACCAATGTTGTGGCCCCATTATAGAAGGTCACCAGATTTGTCAGGCACGATTTCCCCTTTGTAAATCCATGTTGGCTGTTAACAGTCACCACTTTGTTTTCCACGCGTTTCTTGTAGTTTGGCCTGTAGCAATTATGGTCCATAATTGTTCCATTTCTACTCTGTATTCCTTCCTTTGGATTTTCAGTTGTTTATTTATGAATAGAGCACTTGGATAATTAAAAAGAAGTAAATGTAACCTGTGAAGTGTGGAATATGTTCCAGAAGTGAGCATGTATGCATTGGCCTTCTATTCATACTATCTCTTCAAGCACAATGTTTCCTGTTTGCCTGTGGTTAGAATATCACCCAGAGAACCACTCAGTCTTTCATTGGAACTTTTCTGATTTTAGGCCTTCTACATATAACCCATTTTCCATAGAAGTGTGTCCAATAGGAAATTACGAAAACTGTTGCATTTGTGCATTCTTGCTTGAGTGTTTTTGGCTTATGTCTGTAGCTGTTTGTTCTTGATTTATGTTTGTCTCTTATGTTATGCCAAAAACTAAAAGTCTATTCAGTATTTTCTTCTCATGAAGATTGTTCTACCTGGTTGTTGATAAACAAAACAGTTTGTCAAGAACCTGTCCTGTCTTGTAAATAATTTTCCCCGTCTTTCTTTTTGTGCATAGTGTTTCGGTCTTTCCTGTATTTTTTAACATTCTTATATATATATTTTAGATCAGTATTTATCTCAAAATTGTCTTCTAAAAAGAGGGAAAAATCAGCTTTTGGTTTCAGTTTATTTCTGCTTTTACATCAAAAAACTGCCTTAACAGTCTTCCCCACTCTGCCACACCATTGGCATGTGTTCATTTATTTGTTTGTTATGAAACCCAAGTCATTCTGGGTTTGTGACCTTCCAAGATACACTTGTGTTTTTCTGAACTTGTCACAAGCTTCTTATTCGTTGTCAAAATGCAGTTTGTTCCAGTGGGCATGATTCATCAAGCAAATACTTCCATGTCCATAATCATCTTCGTGTGATCTGTGCATTGCATTTGCCTTCACAGTCACTCCAAAGTGAAATATGTTCTGTGATTAATTTCAATCCTGGGATACCTTATTTTATGCAGTTTATTTTATATTCTTTCTTAGTAAATAGTTCTTGTGTTGTTGGTCTTACCAAGTTGTTTCATATACTGTCCTCATAGAGCATCTTTCTATTTCTGTTATTTTTTAGAGATTCATTTAGCAGAGTAAATAGACTGTTTTAAAAAAGGATAAACCAGAGTTTATACATGACCTTGGTAGGTTTTGAATACACCTCTTAACTTCTTAGCCCTTACTTTTCATTATGTGCAGATAACTGCAGCTGAATTTCTGTTAGGTTTTCCACACAGAATAAAATAAATATAACTTCTATAATTTATCTATGCACTTGTTCAACCAGCATTTATCCTTCTAACTTCCTCTTTTTCTGCTGTTCTCAGTCATGAAATGTCTTGCACTGTAACCTAAATTGTGTCAGACTTTTAATAGTGGTAAAAAATTGGCTAAATTTTACTTCCGCATACATGTTCAGATTTTTGCTATAAAAACTTACAGAAACATTAGTTTACTATCAGGTGTTTGTATTCTACTATTGCTTCATGCTTTGTACAAAATATGCATCTCCAAAAAAAATCATATTAAATACATATGTCATGTGTATATGTGTATGTATATTTCTAGAAATACATTACTTTGCCAGGAGTAATATGAATTTCTGTGACAGATTTCACACAGAAAGTAGGAATACTGTCTTTACTTACATGTATTCAGATTTTGACTGTTTTTGCAGTGCATGGGAAAAGATTTTATCAACTCTTCTTCAATTTATTGAAAACTGTATGTAGGAACTATAGCACAGAATAATATCAGCTTACTAAATAAGTTCAAACTCTTAGTGATTCAGAACAGCTGGGATGACTATTCTTTTAAAGCACTTGCCTTGCATGTAAGGCAGTGCTGTATTGTACTTACTAGCACTTAGGCCCTTGCACAAGCTGAAGTGATAGAGATGAATCCCTCCAAGGTATCTATTATGTATTTTACAAACACGATATTTCTATAAATTCAGTGAAAACTCTATGGCAAGTAACTACTTGTTAGAATGTGTTCCCTTGCTCAGATCTTTTTTTCCAAAATAGCTTTATAAAAGATACAAAAGTTGCATTTTTAAGGCAGGTAGTTTTTTAACAAGAATTTTCTGCTGAACAGATTGCATCCAGTAGCTTGATGCTGGCACAACTGCTGTAGGACCATGATGCTGAAATTGAAATCATTATCTTTCCATGCCTCAGATTGTAGTTTTTCTCTGTCTGAGTAAATAGGACAAATGTAGTAGTTAGGTTTTTTTAAAATCAAGTTATTTGCTTTGGAGTGTTAAACCAAAGGATAATCTTCTTGCACAGGATCGAGGAGATGAATTCACTTACACTGGAAGTGGAGGTAGAGATCTTTCTGGCAATAAAAGGATTGGAGAGCATTCATTTGATCAGACATTAACACACATGAATAGGTAAGTTTGAAGATAACATTTAAAAGTATTCCAAAACAAAGAGTTGGGTTGTACTGCTTTAATTTCAAACTAATGCTTTGCAGTATTTATTCACTCCTGTACATGCTGCATTTGTAAATAGTGATGCCTCTTGCTACTAAGAGGCATTTTATCAAACACTGTGTTTTGCTCATTGAAAGAGACCTGCACCTCAGTGAAATACATTGCTGTATTGCTGCTGAAGCTTGTAGTCATGTCTCTGGTTGAAATTGTCCTACAGCCACCCTCAGTGGACTCTGTTTTAATTTAATGAGAAGTTTGCCAAAACTCTTGAGCAGAGGTTTTCTGTTCTGGGTATTTCTTTTTAGAAGTTTCTTCTTCAGTAGGTGAATCAATTACAGATTTAAGTAGGAAGAACCCATATTCATTTTCCCGTGACAAAAGAAATATTTTCTATTTTGCTAGCCCTTTCCTCCTCATTTTTCTATGAAAAGCAAGGAATTAGGGCATTGCTTTATCATAAGAGGTTCTTGAAAAATATATATCCAAAAGACGAATTAGACATCTGCTTTGAGTGTTTTCCATCCTCTAAAAGCCTGCCTGAACAAAGAGTTCTCCATCCTTTTCTATTTCTAACACAATCTTTTACACAGCTGACCTCTGAACACCTGTGGAGTGCTGAGATTGACTGAGACCTTTTATTTGCCAGGTCTGCTCTTAGGGTTCAAGCTTTTCATTCGTTCTGAGAGTAGAGAGAGCGGAAAAGCCTGACTTGGCTGCTGGAGAGCGCGGGGGGATCAGGGAGGGAAGGGACATGATGTGAACAAGAAAAAATAGGGAAGGAAGATGGAAGTAGGCTTGAGCAATAGGTTTACAAGAATATTTAGTGAATAGAGCAGATTTATTTTGGAAAACAGAATTAAAAGCTGTACTTGCAAAACTTGCCACATAGCTTTACAGGTAGTAATGCCCATATATAGTGTGCACATATAGAGTACAACAGTGTGTTCCTTTCAGTTACCGATTTTGATACAAGTTTTCAAGCACTTTGATATTGAAGATTATCATGATTTCATGTAGTTGAATCATACTGGGTTTGCATGTTTAGATATTTTTCCTTTTTCAACTTTTGCTTTTGTATGCGAAACATTTTTAGTGTTGGTGTAGTGTGTCTGCCTCTAACTGTTCTCTCCACATGAGTTCCATACTTGTACCATGCCTGTTTATAAACCATACTATTTCTTCTGTTCTGAGTTTCATCATTTAGGTTGTGGCTGATTTTGAAGGGTTTTCAATCCTTTCAAATTTTGGTTGGAAAAATACAATTCATTATAGCAGCTTGATCTAGTAGGTATTGATACTGTCTTGCTCCAGGTTTCTAGAAGGGCATCTTCGTGTGGATAAAGAGGTTTGCTTGTCCTTGAGTTAGCTACTATGATTCTAAGTCCTACTCTGAGGCACTTAATCTATTATATGAGAGATTTACATTACTTAGGGCTTTTTTGAATGGTTACTATGTATTTTTTTCTCTCTAGCATTTTTCATCTTATTCATTACTTTTGTGTGCACACTGAAAAAGCCCTTAAAATCTGCTAACAGAGAATAGCAATAGGGAAAGTTTGCCTTTCCATATAACTTTAGTTTCAGCAATGCTGCTTAGGAAAGGATTATTTTTGGATTGTATTGGAAAGGAATTGGTTTGTTTTATTTAGCAATTTCAGCAGAATTTTAATCTGAAACATTGACAACAAAATATTTTGTGTTCCTGTCTTTTATTCTTCCCATGCATTGCAGCATGGATCTAATTGCTTCCATCAGTTCTGCAGTTGTTAGAGAATATACTGAAAAGTTCTACACTGTTTGATGAAGCATAATTAGACAATGGAAACACATAGACTTAATTACTATGTTATAAGTAGCTCAAACTCTCAAAACTCTGTTGTGTGAAGCAATCTAGTCTATGAAGATTTTAAATCTCTTTCTAGGGCATTGGCTCTTAACTGTGATGCCCCACTGGATGACAAAAATGGAGCAGAGTCAAAGAATTGGAGAGCTGGTAAGCCAGTGAGAGTAGTGCGCAGTTCGAAAGGACGGCGAATCAGCAAATACGCCCCAGAGGAGGGCAACAGATATGATGGCATTTACAAGGTATTATGATTTCTACAGAGTACAACATAACATTTTTTTTCAGCTTAAGAAGTCTCCTATGTGTTGGATTGCAAATTCTTCATTATTACTTAAAAGGAATAGTTCTTTTTTTTCACCTTTTTAGCTTTAGCTTATTCTGCAAAGAACCAGAATGAAATTATTCAGAGCAGTGATAATAGAACATAACCTGTAATAGGATATATCAAATTGAATACGTAAGCTACTTTCTGTGGTCTGGAAATCAGATTATTTTCTCTTTCCTTCCAACTATATCCTATTCTTTTTTGTGTTTAATGACTTCTTAGTTTCTGAAATAAAGGAGTGTGCATTTTAAGAGCTCTGTATTTATCAAAAGTACAAAAATTTCACACCTGAGGAAAGAGCTGCTCTGTAATAGTACTGTATATCTCAGTCTTCTCATTTCTTCCTGAACAGTTAAAGTTTGACTATATGCATGTGTTTGGCTTATGGTAACAGAATGGCAGTAATTTTATATTGTTCTTTAGGTGGTGAAATATTGGCCAGAAATTGGAAAATGTGGATTTTTAGTTTGGCGCTATCTTTTGAGGAGAGATGATGTTGAGCCTGCGCCCTGGACTTCAGAAGGAATGGAGAGGTCAAAGAAACTAGGTCTGAGCGTACAGGTTTGTGTCAGGCCCTACAGAGCTGTTTTTATTCTTAGTTCCAGTAAACCAATTCCAGAAATAGAAATCAGTTAAATTAAGGCCCTGGTTTTTTTCTTGTACTTCACTGTAGCAGGTTTTAAGACTTAAAAACGCTACAGATTATTTGCAGACTGAAAGAATATTGTAATAGTGACACAGCAGAAGGAACTGCAGATGAAGTTTTTTGCCTTAGCAGTGAATTGCTTTGCATATATGGACTGGAAAATCAGAATTTGAATCCAGTTTTGTAATCCTTAGGCTAGACTGAATTTCTACAAGTAACTAGAGTCTGTCTGAGATACTGAAAAGCCTGTGCATTTTTATGTATTTTTCTCTTCATGTGACTGAGAAGTTTGTATTCATAGGGTATTGTAGGCACAGTAATAGGCTGACCCATGAGGACTTAAGCATTGCAGAATCCACGAAAGATGGAAAGAATTGACATCTTTTCTTGACAAGGCAATGGTATATCTTAGAGCATACCATCATCTTCAGCTTTGCCTAACTGATTTGTATGTTTGTAAGGGCACAGATACGATGTTGGCTCTGTTTAATACAGTCAAGCCTGGATTAGATTCTTTGACTTGACTACACTTTATTATTGATAGATGCTAATTTAAATATTTTATCCATCACGTAGGCTTTTAAAATTACTTTGTAGTTGCTTCACTATGTAGTTACAGGGACTTAGAGTCTTCCAGAAATTAATCTTTTTAGTATCTGGTTATTTCTATATGCCAAGGGGTTTGTTTTAAATCTGTACTTTTTAATTTTAGTATCCAGAAGGTTATTTGGAAGCCATGGCTAGTAAGGAGAAGAAAGATAAGGTTAAAAAGCAAACTGTGAAACAGGAACCACCCAGCCACAGTAATGGAAACCAGAAAAGGACAATTGAAGATGGTATTTCTTTTTACCTTTTTAGCACTTATCAGCAAAGTCTGTCGTGTTATAATTACTGATCCATGAAATCTTCATGGAATACTAATGTAAATTGATAAGCACATGCTCTGTAATTAAGTAGTAATGTAGGGTCTTGCCCTTTTTGGTACTTCTACTGTGTTTTTTTCTCTTAAGCTGTGTAGTCTTCTGTGCAACCGTGTGCTGTAGTCCAGAGCAATGCCTAATGGTATGAGTTGGATTAGGGATTTGCTTGCTGCATTTTATTACTGTAGTCCATGTTAATCCATGTTTCTTTCTAGAAACAGTTTTGTCTTCTCCTTTTATTAGTTCAGACTAACACTCTGTTCTTACTGCGTCTGATGGTCATCATCTTAAGCAGGTATACAGACACCTACGAATACACCAAAAGCCATGAGGATGGGAGATGGAGGGAAAGGAGAAGCTTTCCAGCTGACCCAAGAGCAGCAGTGGCTGATTAGAGAAGACTGTATGAACCAGAAACTGTGGGATGAAGTACTTGCTTCTCTTAAGGAAGGACCAGTATGTTTTTTGCATGCATAATTTTTAATGTTTGCCTTTTCTTTACACTATTAGGAGCAACCTTGAGTCCCTCTTAAAACCTAATTTGCTTGTTGAGCTTTTTATGAATACAGACTGTGTCTAGCATTACTTTTATTTATAAAACTTGCATTTCAAAAAAATAAGCCTCACTTAAGCAATTTGCTATTGATGAATCTATGTCTGCACAATAGAGACCTTTTCTTCCTCAACATTTTGAAGTTAAAAGTGGCTTTTTATTTCTTTTCATTTTTGAAGAGTGTGTTTTCTCTGAAATGATAAATGTATTTTTATGTGGTGCTGATGTCAGAAATTGGACATGAAGAAAGACGGTTCTGTTCTAGTCACTACTTTTTATTTTTAGGCAGAAAATAAGATGGGCTGTCCAGAGAAGTTGTGGATGCCCCGTCCCTGGAAGTGCTCAAGGCCAGGCTAGATGGGTCCATGAGCAACCTGATCTAGTGGAAATTCTCTGCCCATGGCAGGGGATTGGAATAGATGTTCTTTAAGGTCTCTTCCAACCCAAACCATTCTATGGTTCTATGATTCCTTGACTTGTAGAAAAGCAGGGAATTTAAGCCATTAAAGACCTGCTTCCTGATTCCTTCCGGAAAGCTGTGCTCATAGATATGAAGGACTTAAGAACTTCTGGAAGTTCATCATATTTACGTAATAATTGTCATTTAGGAGAACTGTAATAGAGTTTGTCTCTTTTACTCCTTTGCCCTACATTAGAATTTTTTGAAGAAACTGGAACAATCCTTTATGTGTGTCTGCTGCCAGGAGCTGGTTTACCAGCCGGTGACAACAGAGTGCCTCCACAACGTCTGTAAAGTAAGAATAAACTCTGTCTTGCTCTGGGCTGTTTTCTTGGCTCTGAGACACCAATCACCAAAGCCACATGCATTTTAGAAAGACAGTAATAATAGCCTAACATTCTGAGCAAAAACATGCAACAAGTTTCCCTTCGGTGTTTGCTATGTAACCTTAATTTTGTATGAAATAGAGTGGAAGTATGTTTTGTATAGCTCCTCTTAGACATAATGAGTGAAGTTTACTATTGCTGTCATGCCTTTGTGTGATCAGTGGGGATGCACTAGGAACTGGTTTCGTCCAGAGGCTAGATGTTGGCACAATATGAATCATTTAATTTTACAGTTAGGGAATAAAAGGAGACTTAATAATTGTATAACTCTCTTATGAGGAGTTGTGAAAGGATGCAGGGTAAATACAGGAAAATTATCTGGGCTGATTAAGAGGGTTATGTTATCTTGTTATTCTTGGCATTGCTTATGTTGGGTAGGAGAGCCACAGAATTCAGTTCATTACTCTCGTGTCTTAAAATCTTGGTCAGCTGGATATTATGTAAGGAGTTTGGAATTACATTTGTACTAGAGTTAATTTTTGTAGTATTGGTGTATGCCGAATCATGCCCTGAATCATGCATTTTTGAATGGTGCCTGCCATGCGTAGTATTTCTGCCTGTGAGACTGAAAGGACTCTGGCTATTACCCCAGGACAATACTTGATAATGAAAGTTTGCAGTTCAAGGACATATGTATTGCTCCAGTAAAAATCGCAGCCATATTGTCATGACTGGCTTGCACACACAGAACGAGTGTGTCTCCTTAAAAGAACATGAGAAATATTATGAAGGAGTTAGTATTTAGAATTACAGAAATTGGCAGACCATGGAAAAAGAAAGCAGAGAAAGCTGAATGGCAACAAACTCAGAAAGCACAATATTTGAAGATGTCAGTAAATGTTTGTGAATACATTATAACATCCAGTTAAAGCTGTAAGGAATAGTTTGACAATAAGCTGCTATTGCTGTTTGGGCACAGATCTGTCCTGATAAATTTCGGATACTTAGCTCACATACTCAGGCTGTCATCAGTCTGAAGTAACATAGCAGGGATGACAGCACAGATGCTAGTGTGTTAGAGATTGTATTATTCTACATATCTCTTTAAGGCTTAACTGAATCTGTTCTGATGAGGCAGATGGAGATTGTTGCATAAACAGTATACGTGGTGTATACACCTTCCTCTTGAAGGTCTGGGAAGCTATAAGGAAGCTGCTGATTGGCTGTGATTCACAGGAAGACACTAGCAGAAATGAAGGGGAAAGCTCATTAGTGATTTGTTTTAATTCCTCCCAATCTCAATGCTTCACGTCACAGCACAGAGCAGAGTTCCTTGGTTAAGACATTTTAGTCACAGAGGCAGAGTCAGGTGCCAGAAGGCTTGGCAATGACTTCCTTTTCTTTCTGGTAGTACAGCAGATTGTGCCTTTATAGTGATTCCTTAGCTTTTGCTGGCTAAGCTGTTGGTCCAAAACAAAGTTCTCACAATTTCCTTCTCTGTCTCTGTATGTCCTAGAGTTGTTTACAGCGCTCCTTCAGAGCTGAAGTTTTCACCTGCCCTGCCTGCCGCTATGACCTGGGAAAGGGCTACACCATGGTTCCCAACAAGATCCTGCAGACACTACTGGACCAGTTCTTCCCTGGTTACAGTAAAGGACGATGATGTGCTCAGATCCTTCCATACTTCTCCCAGTGACTTTATAGACAGTAAAGGAGAATAAACATGGGAAATTCAGCAGTGGACCAGCCAGCTTGATGTGACAAAAAATATTGTCACATTTTGAAGCAGCTAACCCTCTTCCCCTCATAGCCATCTTTTTGGTGTAGTGAGAACTCTAATTCTCAGCTGTCTTTTAACATCAAGGGTAGTTGTGGCCAGTTAATGAATAGTTTTTAAAGAAAAAAAAAAGAAGAAGAAAAAGAAAAGCCTCAGCTCTTACTGGCCTAGCTGATGCTTAATTTATGATTTGTTTTTTTGTAACTACCTCAGGACAGAGGAAAATAAATTGTGGGGATGAAAAATGTTAGTGACGTTTTAGCTACACACTGCCTCCTGAATATTAGTTGTGCCTGGTCCATGTGGTTTGATTTACAAAAGCAACCCAACCCAACAACAAAAACCAAACCAAAAGAGAAACCAACAAAAAACAGGAAAAAAATCCAGAAACAGCACTTAAGCCAGTTGGATTAAAGAACAGCAAATTCTGTGGTGTGCATAATCCTTTTTTGTCTTTTTCTTCTATTATGCTGTATTTTTTTGCAAGAACAGGCTGATTTTTAGTCTATTTTTGTGGGCTTCATTGTGCTTTTCTTGTATCTTATGCAAGTTGACTACTAATGACTAATGAGAACAATATGAATGCATTGTTGCTGCATTAGTGTAAAGTGATCTGTGTTTTTTGCACTTAAAGAGGGTATTCAAGACACTCTAGTTGTGTAAAAAATAGTTCATATAAAAAAAAGCCACTTCTGTATTAGTTAAACTGTATGCTTTTAGTAGGTCTTGTATCAGTGGCAATACATCTACACGGCATTAAAGGCAGTGCTAGCTTGGAGAGGGTTCAAATCGCTTCATATTGTGATCTGAAATTTTATATACAATATATCGCCCCCCAAATATACCCTATTAAATATTTTATGATTCAGAAAAGTTTCTAATTTTGTTTTTACTATCATCCACTTAATTAGGTCGTAAAGTTTTTTACAGAATTTATTTTTGAGATTGCTAAATGCTTCCTTTAGGTGGCCTTCTTGATTTGACGTGAGGCTTTATAGTCCGTAACTCATTCCCCAGTGGAAAGAACACTCTTAATTTCAAAAATCAGCGAAACAATCCAAACCCCAAAACCAACCTGCCATTGATATCCATGGACTCAGTCACACTCTATAGCAGTGGAAGCTTGTTAGTGCTCAGTCCATGTTCTGGAGTCAGAGGGAGCCCTTCCTGCCGTGCTGGCATTGGCAGTGCTTGCTGCCAGAGCCAGCTTGGTGCAGCTCTGAGCTGTGGGGACCTGCCGGGGCTAGTCAGTTCCCATCATAGGCATGGGATTGCACTGACAGCCTGTAGCCCAGAGTGCTACAGGTATCTCAGTATTTTCTGGGGAAAACAGATGTAATTTTACCTTTGCAGCAGTCATTGCATCTGTGCAGTAAGCACATAAGACTTGTGGCTTTTTACTTTTTATCTGAGTGCTGTGAAATATTTTAATGCTTTGTTTTCCATTTGATAGTTTTTGCTGATTGATTGATGAGATAAATTTGTCAGTTTGAGGTCAACAGTGGGAAGTTATCTGCTTAATACAAAATTTATGTAAACCAATTTTTTTATATATCTTCTTGGTGACAGACAGAATCAAGCAACATGAAGCTGCCTTTAATAAATATTAAAGTAGCTTGACAAGACTGTGGAGTTAGATTGGCAACACAGAAAGACTGTCCTTTCCTCATATTACAAGTTTGCAGTGTTTTTTCATGATTTTTTTACATCCTCAGTACTATATCAATAGCTGCTGAAAGACATTCTAGAGTACAAAATTCTGATTTTTTTCACTATGTATTGAATTGGTTTAGGACATAAGTGCAGCTTTTCACATCAGAACTGATATATGGCCTAATCTTCCTTTAATGAAAGCCATTCCTGTCATCTGCAGCATCTTTGTGTAATTAAAGCACCCATTGAAGCCGTGCGGTATGTAATGGAAAAGCTGAAGTCCCAAAACTTTCACTATAAAGAATACAAAAGTACAGTACCTAAAACAGTGCTCAATCGTGCCACTTCAGAGAGAGCTCCCAGGCATGAGTGTGCACATGCACCAAGAAGAGGTTGAGTAATGCCTGCTTGTAAGGTACAAAACTCTGTTCCTTTTCGTCCTCTGTTACCCCAATACCTGTTTCCTCATTTGCTGAAATGATGCTACTTGTGGCTGAATGAGTTTGTCTCTACATGGGCACTGACAGGCATCAAACGCATTTGCACAGAGGCTTTCAGGTTCCATTCAAATGTGCTCATAGCACATATGTCTATCTAACTGGTGAGAGGATTGGTTTTATGTAAACTTGACTGGGAACAGATTGGAAGAGGCTCCTGTTTAAGGTCTGCATTCTGGTATCAGAGTTATTGTCACACTGTGTGTAGCAGGAGGGCTCTGGCCTCAGAGTGCTCTAGGAGGCCCAGAGTTAAAGCTGTGAATCAGTTTTTACACAAGCTGTAGACTTACATGACAAAGCAAGGCAAGTTGAGTGCTCTGTATAAACTAAAACCAGTATCCAAAATAAGAGACTTAAACTGTGGCAGGAGAATAAATACTTGGTTACACAAGATCTGTCATACTAAGTAGTTCACAGTCTGTTAAAATACAGTAAGAGGATTAGATGGACTACAAGGAAAAACTGATGTAATATAGAAAAAAAATTGTTACTGCTTGGTAAAATGGATCATCCTAGCTCATTAAAAAAAAATCAGATTTATTTCAATACTCATTTCTGACAGTATTTCCTTTGTGTAGAAGCTGTTACTGCTGTGATGATTCTCACAAATCAGAACTTAAGTGTTATAATTTCATACTGCTGTGTTGGACAAATCCGGCTGAAAAGTTAAAATCCAAAACATGACAACACTTAAAATTCTGACCAATTTTATTAGACAACTAACACTGATAGGTAAAAAAATCAGTATGAAATATTACCACTAGCATTGCTAGTAAATTAAAAAATCTACTTAATAATTTTTTTACAAAATATAAACAATTACTCCTGCAGTTAATATTCATTAGTATTGCCTTATGCATCTGCATCTTTTCTACCTTTCTAACCATATCTTCCAAGCCACTTGGCAAATTGGGTGTTAAGTGTTAAAACTTTAGCACGAAACAGACAAAATGCTGAATCAAGGCAACTTCAACATCAACTGCTGTGGAACAATCACATTTTGTTTACACCTAACATACTGATTGTATTTACATTTTAACTGAGCAGTGATTCAATTAACAAACATGGTGATTATCCAAAATATACATATTATATAGATCCCCAGGAACTCAAGAAAAGGCCATCCAGACAGGCTCAGAAAAGCAGGAAGCTGGAAAGAGTCTTAGGAAGATGCTCTCTTCTGTTCAGAAAATGGAGACTCATAGGCTTCCATTGGTGGGCAGGTACAAACCAGATGCTGATCTCCATATATGTCATCAATGCGAGCAATTGTGGGCCAAAACTTGCTTTCAGGCTTCACAAATGGCTAAGACAGATAAAAAACCCAACATCTTAATTTTTCTACCAAGCAAATCTAGAAGATTATAATACACATTAGAAAATTTACATAAATTAAAAAAGCTGGAAAAGTGGATTTTTTTTTTTAAGTGAAGCTATCCTTCAAACCTGCTTGCAGTCCCTGGAAGTTAACAAGCATGTATAATAGAGGTGGCAGTCAAAAGAATGTTTAGATTTTTTAGAAAAGTGTAACTGTGTCCTGTAACAAGGTGGCGAACTTCACAGGTGCAGTTGAATTCTTACTCTTTGCAACAGTATATAGAACAAAATATTGCAATTCCCTTTCAGAGGAGAAAGGCTAGGGTTAGGTAAGCTAAATGCATACATACATTTATGCTATTATGACTGTGAGTCTGATGAGTCCAGCTCCAATCTGACCTTTACTTGTAGCAGGCCCACACTGCTGTGGCTTGCTCCATGCTGACCATGGGGCATCTTGTCACACCCTTAAGTTCTTTGGAGATTTGCATGTCAGTATGTTGGGCTCTATTTTGGGAGCCCCTGGTGTAGCATGTTAGAACTGAACAGGCTCTTTCCAATAGGAATGAATACTGAATGCGGAAGTGCTGAGATTTAGAAATTCAAGTTTGCACTTGATGTGTAGAAACTTTTTTTTTTTTAAGATCTTCTTTCCTTGTCTTCAAAAGCAAAACTAATGGAAGTGTGCTAGAGCTCACACACATAAAAATTGAGCAACAGTAAAAATGGCTCTAAGGCTCTTATTCTTACCAGATTACTTCATCTCCAACTGGCAATAAAACTACGGAGCAGAAAGCATATTTATGTATTACCACACCACTAGGTGCCCATTATTTACTCACCAGTGGGAATGCTGCCACTTCTCTGGAATAGGGACGATCCCACTTGGAAGAAGTGACACAGTTCAGAGTATGTGGTGACATCTACAAGGAAAAAGACATGTTTAGGACATGAAATTACTGACTTCAGTTGAACATAGCAGTGTGACCCCTCCTTCAGCTTCACATTAGTACATATAATAATTACTGTCTGGTGAGTCTCTTGAGAATACTGTTTATCGGGGGGGAAAAAAAGGAGATTTAAACCAGGAGGCAAGTTAGTATTTGGATTTTGTTCAGTTTGCCTGCAGATACAACCCAAGGCTTGAATATGCTTCCAGCTTTTCACTAAATCCCCCCAGTATTTAAAAGTCAATACAGAGTTGAACAGAACTTGAGCCTGTAGCAGTTCTGTGCTGCCAGTGCTAAAATAATTAACTCAGTCTTTATGTTAAGGCCATTCTAGGTCCCTTCTTAAACCAGCTAAACAAGGAGCTCTCCTTCACTACTTTGAGATGACCCTGAAATATAGATTATGTGCTTGTGTAAACAACTTTCTCTGCTCTGTCAGAAAAGGCCAGACCTATGACTTAAAATAGTCAAAATTCAAATTTTGAAAAAGCTGAAGGTTTCTAAAAAAGTCAAATTTCAAGTTCTTGTGCTCACTGTTGCACACAGTTAATTCTCAAGAGTACTGAAAGGCCAAGAAATGAGTTTATACAACCTCAGGTCTCAAGGGTTAAGCTGATGCTGGTAACTTGGTTTTACCTTTAGTGGGTTAATTTGGGGGTCCATCCTGCCCTCCTCTATTTCAGCAATTTCCTGCCGAATGCTGATCATTGCATCACAAAATCTGTCCAGCTCTCCCTTGTCTTCAGACTCTGTTGGTTCAATCATAAGTGTCCCTGCCACTGGCCAGGACATGGTTGGAGCATGAAAACCTGACAACAATGGAAGAAATCAATCACTGACAATAGGCTATGAGATACTGTATGCATTAGCTAGCAACTGATTCACAAATTCACCCTTCCTATACAATAATCTTTTCAGGACTGACCCCATTGGTAGTGTTGGCAGCGTGCTGTAGAGGCAAGACAGACTTTTCAAGTATCTGAGTTTTTAACACTGATGCGTAACACCCCTGTATTATTTACAATAGAGTTACACATTGATTTAATGAAACTTATAAGACCTGCTCTTTTTGATTTGTCACTTTTCAGCCCAAAGTATATTGCTTCTTTCTCGGGTTACTGCTGTTACTGCTACTCACATCTATAGAAGTGTTCTGGCACTGTACTTCCTTAGGCTGAATGGCAACATCAGACAGGTATAGATTTCTCCCCTGGTAAACCTGGTTTACCTCAAGGTCTCAGGATTCCCTTCCTGCACACTACTACTAATTTCAGTCTTGTGACACTTTTGGCTGCAGAGAATGGAACTTTACTAAACTTACCCATGTAACTCACCTCTGTGCCTGCTGAAAAGTCTACCCACAGTCATGCATGCTATTTAAATCCTGCTTACAAAGAGCAGAAGGGTGGGTTTTTCAGTATCACAGCTGGACTTTGGACTAT